TGTAAGCCATAGTCAGCTCAGTGGCACCTAACAACCACAACAATACGGGCATGGCACTTGTGGGACAAGTCACTCAGCTCAGTCCACATTTTCTTACTTTGTTGCTGATGGCCATGTATGGATGGCACCTTCACTTAACTCTTGAGACCAGGAGATGTTTCTGCCTCCAGCCCTCTTGTTCTGTTATCAGCCCTGCACAGGGAGCCACTCCACTTCTCTTGGTCTAAACGCCACCAGAGCCCCACCCGGACATGCTGGGAGTCGGGCCTAGAGATGGCCAGGCAAGATGTCTCTCAGTGAAGGAGCAGGGCCTCCCAGCCAGAACCCTCCTGTCCTGCAAGCTGTCTGGTCACTCCGGAAGGAGCTTCGTGGGCTGGACGTGTTGCAGCCCTGACCGGATCTTGACTGTCGAGCCCTTTACCTTCCTCATTTGTGAAGCTGCAGAGGGCTGAAAGTTGGTGACGTCTTGTTGCTAGGAGCAGGCAGTTTGTAAAGGAAGCGAATGGGGCTTGTGTATCAGCTAGCCCAGTAAGCCTGGATGTTTGGTGTGGGGTGGAGGACCCTGTGGGGTGCCGTTTATGAACCCCCTGCAGGGCCCTGCCCCTGCCCCCAGCAACCTGCGTCCTAGGTGTGGAGACCAGCAAAGATGGCGGGATGTTCCATTAAACTTGCAGCATTTCAGCCAAGGGATAGAAACTGCTCCCCAGATGCAAGACATTGAGGAAGGGAATACTCAAAACAGATGTGTTCACTTGGTTTTGTAAACTGTGCTAAAAGTGTATAAAGAACATAAATTGATTCAGCAACAGCAGCTTTCCTGAACCACTTCTTTTGGTGGTTCTTAGCAATGACAGCAGGAGGGGGAAATCCTTCTATAGAACAAATGGTGTGTCATCCACACTGCATGGCTTCACTGTTTCAGAGTGTTCTCTGTGTGCATCATCCACTGACCGGAAGCCCTGTGAGAAAGGGAGCTGGCCACGGCTCCAAAAACGACCTTCTGTTGGCACACAGCTTCACTTTCTGTATGTCCAGTATCTGGACAGCAGTCCTAAGAAAAGTACTCAGATGCCCACACAATGGGACATGGGTGGATTAAGTAATTTCATTTCATTTTTCTTTCTGTATAAGGTGGGTGTCTTAGTTGTCTAGTGTTGCTATAACAGAAATACACAAGTGGATGGTTTTACCAAACAGAAATTTACTCACTCACAGTTTAGGAAGCCAGAACTTCAAATTCAGGGCACCAGACCTAGGGGAGAGATGGGCAGTCTCCTCCTGGGTGGTTTACAGCCTCTGAAAAACCCCTGGAGGGTCAGCTGTGAGTTGGTTCCAGCTGGATAGCATGTGACACACCACCACCACCAGATCCAAGAGAAGATTTTCTTGTGTGGGCTCACGGTTTTGGAGGAAGGTCCTGGTCTCCTTCCAGCATCTGTTGGGCCTTGTGTTCCTTGGAAGATTTCTGTGTGTACTGGCATCAGTCTTCTTCTGGGTCTAGGAGCTTCCTAGCATAGGGACTCTGGGCCCAGAGGATGCACTCCACTCCCAGCCCTTCTGTTGTGGTAAAAGTCTTCCTCTCTGCTAGCTTCTTTTTCCTTTTATCTCCACCCTTTAAACTCTCGTAAACTAAACAGTGATGCAGGTTATGCTCCAGGTGAACTCCCCTTATGTCGGATCTGGACTGTGACTACTTAAGGTTGTTGAATCCCACCCTGAACCTCTTCCATCAGACCAGGGCTGATCCAAGCAGAGCACACCAGGTGGGGTCAGCACACCATTATATAGCTTCCACACCAGTGAGAATTAGGGCCCAGCCAAGTGGACATATGTTTTGGGGAGACACATTTCAATCTATGAGAGTGAGCAAAGAGCATACTTAATATGCCCATCTGACAGCAAAATGGACTCATGGAGGTGAAGTGACTCTTCTGTGGTCACAAAGCTAGTCACTTGCAGACATGATAGGCCTAAGGCCTGAGCTCTTACAGCACAAGCCTGAAGGACTCAGGAAGGAGCCCAGGTGGGCTTAGAAGAAACTGAGCAGAAATGCTGGGCAGGTTGGAGGGCATGGGGACCCCACTACAGGCCACCTTTTCTCTCCTGAAGGACCTCTGCTGTTCATTCGCTGAGAGCTGCTGCTCAGAGGTGAGAAGGAGATGTCTGCCCACCAACCACCGTCTCAGATCCAGGAGGGAGGGCAGGGGCAGGGGCGTCGCTGGGGGGAGCTGGCAGGTTTTAAACCAGGGAAGAAGCTGGTGAACACTCCATCTACTACCACCACACCTCCTTCCTGCCCGACTGGGCCTCTTCAGCCAACCCCAACCCTGGGCCAGGCCTGTGGCTGGAATGCTGGGGAACCAGCACCGCCCAGGGGAGGGGAAGCACACCAGCCGCCCTCCTGGGGGCTGCCAGGGCAAACCTATGCTTCTGTAGCAGGTGGGCAGCCTTGCCTGGGGAGGGCCAGCCTCACAAGCATTCCCTGAGCACTTCCTTCTTGCATCTTCGAGAAACATGGCTCCCCTTTCTCCTCTGCCGGGAGCTCCCTAAAGAGGCCCCCCCAGGCCCCATCCTTGTCCTGTGCCTGCCCTGCCCTCACTGTGCGCCACCTAAGAGTCTGGATGAGAAAGAAACCTGCCAGCATGAGCAGCCCCGCAGGTCTCTTGGCAGGTGCAGTGGACCCCACTGTAACCTTGGGAGCAATTTCTAAAGACTTGGTCATTTTCTGAGAGACTTGGTCACGTCTGTAGAGCCAGGAAGCAGGGGAGAGCAGCTGGGTGGGCAGAGTCATGGTGGGGATCTCCCTAATGGCCACCTGGGGACACTGCACACTATTCCAGCCCAGGCCAGGGAGCTTAGGGGAGGGGTCTGGGCTAGGACTCTTGAGGACAGTCGCACTCCCATGTATCTGTCACTCTCCGTTTCTCCATGCCGACTTGGAAGCCGCCCTTCCAGTAGAACAGGCAGGTATCCCATCTGTTCTACGTGGGGCCACCCAGTCAGAATGGACTCAGTGGTACTGGACAGAGCCAGTCCCACGAGGATCTGAATTAGAGGTGGTCTGCATACCCACTGTGCGCCCCTCCTGCACCAGGCTCCACCTGGAACAAAGAGAACAAGGGCAGGTCCAAGAAGTGACCCAAAGGCCACCCTGATTGCAGGGGACCAGAAAGACACGCCCACAGGGAGAAGTGGACAGGTGAGGCTCCCAGAAGTCAGAGCTCAGCAGAGATGGCCCCACTGGCCATGGCAGGTGGACGGGATGGGGGGCCCTCAGGCATCAGAGAAAGGTGAGTACTGTCACAGGAAGCAAGGCCTAGAGGTGTCTCCAGCAGAGGGCAGGTGGGCAGGTGGAGGGCAGAGCCTCGCCCAAGCCTGAGGTCCAGGACAGCCGCCCTGCGGGCCACCCAGCTCCCCACAGGATGGAGGCGCCTGAGTCACTGCCTCTAATGGCTCTGCTATTTTTATGCCCAAGTCTATTTAAAAATAGGCGTCTAAGCTAAGGTTTTAGCTGCAGCTGACAAGACATTAAATCTCAGGTACCTGAACCCACAAGTGATAGCCATGTGTCTTTTTGCGTGTCCACTTCCTCCTCTCCTAATGCACAGGGGGAGAGCGGGTGGGATGCAGCCGTGAGGGAAGCATGCTTCCTGTTACTTCCCAAGCTTCGGGGCCACCGCGGGACACTGCGTGGGCTGCTCAGGCAAGCCGAGGGTGTCTGTACACAGGCCCCTCCTCAGTGCAGGCTGCACTCCATGCTGGCCCACCAGGAGGAGCGAAGGGCTGCAGGTTCAGTACCTCCTGGCCAGCTATGCATAGGAGGCGCTGTATTCCTGTCCTGTTGATGGCAGGTCCTGGACCACCCTGAACAACTCCTGTCAACATCAGCACCACAGCTGGGCATCTCTAGCCAGGAGAACACTTGTTCAGGCAAGGGGAACCCAGCCTGCACACCCAGTTGAGAGTAATGAAGGGACTTGGGGTGTGTTTGTGGTACAAAGCCAGCCTGTCCCAACTGGAGGAGCCTTCCTCCTCTCTCCTCTGCCCTCCTACTTCAAAGAAAGCTGACGTGGCCAAAACCAAGGTGTCGCCCGGCAGAGTGTGTGTGTGTGTGTGTGTGTGTGTGTGTGTGTGTGTGTACAAATGTAGATGCCAGCCTATCTTGACAAGTTTCGCAGCTTTTAAAATAATCAGCAGCTCCCTAAGTACTCGGTGGGGGTTGGAAGAGTGAAAGGAGGGTCCCTATTTATACCCTGAGCAGTCCCAGCACAGCCCTGCCACCGGCCTGCCAGTGGCCAGGAGACACGTGGCTCCCGGGACAGGAAATGCTGAGAAGGGCAGCCCCCAGCCCGGCCTGTCCTGCAGCCCTCGGACGGCGGTGGACGCCCTGGCCGCAGGGGCCACACGCCTGGTGGGAAGCAGTCAGGCTCAGGCCTGCCAGCCGGGCCTAGTGACCAGCAGGGTGAGCAAGCCAGGAATCACCAGGCAAACGTTTCTCTCGGGGGTGGGGGGGAGGATGCAGTGAGGAAGGAAGACTATTCCTGGGCAGAGAGCCTCACAGGGTTACAGCCCAAAATGACCAATAGATCTCCGTCATGAATCAGATCACTCCCCACCCCCCGCCCAGCGATGAGCCACCTCCTGACATCTGAAAGCCCAGTGACTCACGCCTCAGCCTCAGCCAGAGACCTGGTGGCTCAGGGCTCAGGCCTCACCTCCCAGCTCTGCTCCCGTCCGCGGGGTGGTGCTCTCTGAGGGTGAACAGTGGGCCCAAACAAGGACCTGATGCAGCCCAAGGGGCCACCAGTTAAGGCTGCAGCCCCAGCCCCACCCCTGTCCCCTCTCTGGTCTCTTCCAAGCCCTCCTTGACACTACCTGGGCCATGTCACTTGGGGCACCCGGGAAGACCTGGCAAAGGGAGGGGCGCCCAAGGCCACCAGGAGTGTCTGCCCCTTTGCAGTGTCCTGCTTGCTAACGGCCTGCTGGCCTGTCTCTTCCAGTGAGAAACGCCACCTTCAAGTCAACGTCACCAACCCGGTGCAGTGCAGCCTACACGGCAAGAAGTGCACGGTCTCCGTGGAGACGCGGCTCAACCAGCCCCAGCCCGACTTCACCAAGAACCGCTCAGGCTTCATCCTCAGCGTTCCGGGAAACTGAGGCCCGGGGCCTGGAGGGCGCGGTGGCCGCCTGGCCACATGCTTGCTGCCCTGCCCGCTTGGTTCCAAGGGCCAGTCAGATGCTGAACCCCTCCTAACGCCCCACTAGAAATCACTTCTCCGAGCGCACTCCTGGGGAAGGACTCCCCTCTGCCTTCATGAAGACCCCGCCCTGTAAAGTTCCTTCCTGGCTTTGGTCTCCCAGCCAACTACGCACTGTCCCCACTCAGAAACCAAAGACGCTGGTGGCCTTCTGTGCAGCCTAGGGCTGACGTCCACACCTCACCTCAGGAGCCAGGAGATGAGAACTCCGGTCCGCAGAGGCCCCTCCACGGCCCGGCCATGCACCTCCAAGGAGCTGCTGACCCCTGGAAAGGAACAGGGGGTCTGGGGGGCTGTTCTCCAGCCAAAGATGTGTTCCCCTGGGGTGCCCCCAGCCCCGTGCCCACGAGCTTTGCCCTTTGGCTGCTCAGGGAGCCTCCTCTCAGCCTCTGCACCCCCACCCCCACCCCACAGCCACCAGGGGAGCAGATGCACCTGTGGAGCCTGCCCCCACCCCCAGGGCCCTGCTCAGCACCCACCCCGTGTGCGGGAGAACACTGGTGGGCTCTGGGCTCCTCACCCCGCACCGCGGCCTGCCTCCAGGGTCGTCTTCGGCTGATTTCTGCAGTTTGCAGGGCTGCTAATCAGATGGCATCTCTGCTGTAAGCACATGGTGTGAGGAATACTAATGAGGGACGGGCGGCGGGTGAGGGAACAGGCGGGCGCCAGCCGTGCTCGCTTAATACCTCCAGTGGTGGTTCAGCCTCCTGACAACTGACAAGGACACAGGAACGGTGGGAAAGAGCAACGGAAGACCGCGTGGGGTCCTGGCACTGCAGGCCAGGCCAGGGTACCCCTCACCCCCACCCTGCCCCGTCAGGCCACCAGGTGGCCATACCTCACCCCGGAGAGGCCACCGTCTTGCCACTGTCTGCACAACACAAAGTACGTGTGTTTCAGAGCCACCTTGGGACACCCTGTTTCTAAGGGAGAGCAGGAAAAGCCTGGCAAATAGTCAAAGAGGAACACACACTAGCATTTTCTTTACTTCCTGACACAGAAGCTGCTCCCACATGCCCAGTCTCTCACCTTGACCCAGCAGAACCCAACAAGTGCCTGAGTGTGTCACCTGTGCCTGGCCAGGGCTTGTGGGGTCACCTGGCTGACCCCAGGGTGGTCCCCACAGCCCGGCCTCATCCCCACCCCACCTGCCAGGGCCTGCAAACATTTGCACTGTGTGCAAGACGCAACAAAGACTCCTGCTGGTTTTGCGTCCTTGGAAACCATCCTGCTCACAGCCCTGTCACCGTCCAAGGTGCCACCGGCCCTGGTCAGCAGAGCCCAGTTTTGCCAATGACGTGCAGACACTAGTGGAGCCATCTAACTAGCACCCAGTTTCTGCTTCATGCCCCAGACTTGCTTTATACTAGACACATGCAAACGTTTTAAAGACCCCAAAGCACAACATGCCTAGTGAGCTGCCTTTTCACAAGCTGGAGAGGAGGGTCCTGGGGTCGGGGTCTGTCCCCACCTCTCAGCAATGCCTCTGGGTCCCCAACGCCAGGGCCTCCCTCCGAGGGTTCAAGGACCAAACTGTCAAGCACTTTCTTAGGCTAGACCAGAGGTAGGAGCAGCCACAGCCTGTGGTGAAGAGGGGCCAGGAGTTCCGGGTGACGGGCGTCACGGATCCCCAGTGCGGAGGAGAAGGGAAGGGACCTGGTGATTGTATGCAATGAAGTCTTTCTCTTGACTTAATTAAATGCAGTTTGGTGCATATAGATCCCTATTTTCCATTAAATTAACTTTATTCCTAAAGCCTATTTTGATTTACCATCAAGAGCAATAAAGCATTAAATCTTATTTTTAAAAGTGTTCTGTTTATCAGTGAAAAATAAAGCCTATAATGATGAGACTTTATGTGTGTGAAGTCACGGTCACCGTAAGAATGGAGCACAAAGAATGCAAAGTCGAGAATTCACTGAACATTTAAGGAACACGGGAACTAGACAAGGAAATTGTAGGAAGGAGTGTGGAGGGAGAGGTGGCTGGGGGTTAAATCCAAGCTCTTCCTGCCACCAATCTGAGGTCTGTGCTCTGTGCTCACTGCTGGTATCAGCTCACTGCTGGGGCTGCACTGAAATAGCAGGGAGTTTGCATAACAGTCAGGCCCCAAGTACTTCCGGGAGAGGTGGTCTGGGAGATGGGTCGGCCTCTCCCTAGGTGGCTGGGCGAGCTCAGGCTGGGGAGGGTGCTTCCAGGGTACTGAACATTCCATGTCAGGGTGCCCTCCTGGTAGGGAACAATGTGCAGTGGTAGTGCCCAGCTCAGCTCTGGGGAGGCCTGACTCTGCCCAGGTGCCCACACTGACCACAGCCATGCTGGCCCTGGGCACACTGCTCTGGCGCTGAGACTGGGGTGGCTGTGGATGGGCAATCAGGACTGGAGAGAGACCTCCCAGTAGAAGGGCCATAAGTCCAGGGGCCAGACTGGCTGCTTATCTGAGAATCCAAGGACTGAATTTCTCCCGCTTAAATCCGCACGGGGCTAAAGTGGCAGGATTGGACCACGTGGGCAGAGTCCGCTCAGACCAGCCTGGGAGCCTGTGGGCAGCCAGTCAGTCGTGGGGACACATGAGGGCAGCAGCCTTCAGGGCCAGACACAGCATAGGGGGTCTGCGGCCCAGTGCCCCACAGGACCCACTCCAGGCCATGCTGGGCCAGACCGTCAGGTGGAGAGCCCGGGGCCAGCTATCAGCCAAGAGGTCTTTCTGCCACTCCTACCCCCTCCCTCCCACCTCTGAACTGCTAAACCAGAGCAGACTTAACCTGTGCTGCTTTCGTAATCACCTTAATGTGTTAAGCCCTTTCCTCTAACCCTATCCCTCTCCCTTCCCCCACGGCGCAAATCCAATTACGTTCTGAACACATGAATCATTTAGTAAAAGGGGGCCCCAGCCAGCTCAGAAATGACGTGCCCACAATAAGAGGTCTATGTAATGGATGGTCAGTGCATTTTATTTAATCAGCACAGTACAAAAATAAATAAAAATAAGGGAAGGGGAATTAAATTACAGCCAAACCGAGCTCCATGACTTTGTCAGATTATAAACCACACATACTCACACACTATACATACATACATACATAATGAGACAAATATAAATTAATGTTAACAGTACCCACAGTTTGGTCAAAGAAGAGCTACAGAAGAAATTGCACTAGAAAAACCAACATACATCGCACGTGGGTTAGTGGTCTCAGGTACACAGCTATGAATAACTCCAAATGGAAAAAAAATGGCACGTTTTCTTTTCATTGCAAGTTTAACACCTGTTGGAACAAAACTAAATCCTAGTAACTGCATGGAAAGAATATAGCAATCCTTCTTGTGAAGCAAAGCTCACAAGAAAAAGAGAAAAACCAAGTCCTGAACTATCATTCTTCCTTGTGACTTGTTCTGTGCAAGGTGTCATTTTCACAGCCAGCTGTTCTAAGATTATTTTTCTTAAGACACACAATGCTCCTGGTTTGCATGCACAATATCACTGTAAAAGCAACAATTAAAGAATAAAGAAGGGTGGTTGGGATTTTATTTTTTTATGTTATTTTCCTTTTTGAAGGCTAGGGGTTTTTTCCTTTTTGTTTTTTGTTTATTGTTCTAAAAGTAGTCTCATAGCAGCATGTCCAGTGAGTTCGTTGCTTGCACCCAAAAGGATCAGTGGTTCCTCTACACAATACTGATGCAAGTGCAAGGAAAGGAAGAATAGGGCAGCCTTCACGTGGGACTAGAGAGCTGGCTGCCTCAGCCCCCCACCGCTCCTGAAATCGGCACCTCCTCAAAAAAAATACAAAATAAATAAATACGGAGAGAAAAGGAGACACGCAGAACTGGAATCCTGCAGATGCAACTTAAACCACCAGCTGAGGCCAGGTCCAGGCAGGTGAATGTGTGACGTGAGCATGCGCCTCTCTGCCGACAGCTTGGCTCCGAGCTTCCCCGGGTCCAGGGCAGCCCAGGGCCAGCTGCCCCCACAGGCCTCCCACCTCAGTCAGAGAGCGGCAGCAGGATGTGAACAGGCAGGAGACGTGACAGCTCCAGCAGAGAAGAGACAAACGCTGCAGTCTCCTCAGCCGGCGGCTGCAGGCTCCTGCCAGCTCTGCATGGGATCGTCGCAGTCCTGGGAATGGCTCAGGTGGGCCTCCCAGCAGAACCGGGGCAGATGCTCTCCTGGCGTGCGGGCCCCAGTCCCCTTCCCTGGAGACATCACGGGCTGGCAGGATCACCTTCTGCTCCAGACCTCTCCAACCGGGACCTCAGTTTCACAGCTTTCTTTACATGAATTTCAGTAGTGCTTGTGCTGACACCAGCAGCCACCAAGACCCTAGCCCTCTGCTAAATGACCCTGCACCCCCTGCCACGCCAGCACTCCCCCAGTGGTGCCAGGAGAGTGAATGATAGTGGTGGCCACCTGACATGGGTCTTTGTTCCTTAAAGGAGGAGGGAGGCAAGGAGGAAGACTGGCTCCCTTTTCTCAGCCCTCCTCCAAATGCTGCCACTGATCTGGGGGCGTCAAAAAGAAAACCTATAAAAGTAACACATCGAGTGGTTTTACAGCCAGTGCGGCCAGGTGTAACCAATACCAGCAACTGCCAGTGCTAAGTGGTCAAATCAGTAGGCTTCTAAAGCAATCAGGAGTCATACTCCCGGCTTGCAACTGTCTCCAAGATGCAGCGCTCTCACTGGGCCTAGTGGGCCAGGCGTCATCTTCAGGAGAAATGAATCTGTTCGGAAACAGCTTTCACTTAAGAGGCGATGGGGCAGGGGTACCTCACTAGCACATCGCCATGCCATCACCCCCCAGCCATGCTCCTTTAGTTGTCCAGGCATTCCCCACAGGTTGACTAAGCTGCATAATTCAAATGAGTGACCACCCAGGAAAGGTGCTGACTCCAGCCTTAGCCCACCCCTTCATCTAGGACCCAACATGAAGGAGCTTAAGGAGTCAAACCCACTGGTCAGTCAACGCGAGCAAACACGGCTGGAAGCAGTGGACAGGTGGAGCAGGGGCAAGGTCCACGTCCCCGCTACAGGAAACCCTTTCTCCCCACTAAAGACAAAGGAGCAAACCGGGGCCGTGCTGGTCAAACCGCTGCCGGCCAGGCCTTCTCCAAGCGTGTGGGACGTTGCTCCAAGGTGGTTGCAGACCTGGCCTCGTCCCCACGTGCGGCTCCTCCGCCTGCCTGGTTCCAGCAGCCTCTGACAACCAACAACCCCAAACAGGAGCCAGAACCGAGGCCCCAGCTGGAAACTCCAATTCCTCCCTGGGCTTGCTGGCCACAGGCTCTCTCCAGCCCCATCCAGGGGGCAGCGGGCAGGTTCGCCAGCCAGGGCACAGGTGGCAGAGATGGGTCGGTCCTCTGGGATCCCCAAAGAAAGAGGCAGCGGCCTAGGAGACTCTGAAAACATCTTCGGGGTTTTGCACACAGTTCACAGGTTCAGAAGTGCCCCGAGTAGCTTGTCGGGGCTGAAAAAAAAAAAGCACAAACCCCAAGGAGAGAAAGTGTGAAGGGGGGGCGCCCTTGGTGGCTTGGCTTTGCTAGACACATACTGTACACAAAACTGATTGGTTGTATAATAAATCTTTAAAAATGGACTGAATCCTTGCGCCAGGCCGAGGCCCCGGGGCTCACCGATCGAGTCCCAGCAGCAGCCTCTTCTTGTCCTCCTGGCCGCTCTCGTTCTTGAGGTCGGAGAACACCTGTGTGAAGTAGTGCGGGTCGGCGTTGATCTGCAGCATTTTGGAGCTCATGAGGTTGATGACCGAGAGGCAGCGGTCCCAAAAGGCCTCCTTGCAGCTCTCCACCAGGAAGGGCTTGAGCGGGTAGGAGATCTCGTTACCCATGTAGGAGTAGGAGAGGTACAGACAGGTCAGCAGGACGGCCTGGAGCTCGTGGTCCGAGCCCACCTCGGAGGAGATGACATCCCTGCACAGCATGTAGAGGAAGACCACGTTGGCCGGCGTGATGAAGCCCTGGTCCTGCCAGCCCTGCAGGAGCAGCGAGCGGTCCACGCTGCGCAGCCAGAGCACGGGGTCCGTGGGGGACAAGTGCTTCAGGCGGTAGCACCGGCGGCAGAGGAACTCGCCCAGGCAGCGCAGCAGCTCGCTGGTGGACGCCTGGACTATGACCCGTTTGGGGGTCCCCGCGGAGGTGACGGCAGGGTGCGGGGCCTTCTTGACGGAGGAGGAGACCCCGGTCTGGGAGCCCGAGAGCTGGCTGGTAGGGGGGGCGGGTGGCTGGGCCGGCGGGGGATGAGCGAACGTGGACAGGTTGGCACACGACAGTGACTTCTTCAGGTTCTCATTGTTGAGGTGCGTGATGTTGTTCTGGTAGCTGCTGTTGGGCTGCACCTTCTTGGAGTTCTTCTTCTTGGCCGACACGGCCACGATCCTCTTCCAGGGCAGCACGGAGATGATGGAGTGTCTCTTCAGGTTCTTGTCCTTGGCGTTCTTGCTGTTCTGTACGGCCGTGTAGTGGCCCACCGTGGCCGCCCCATCCTCAAAGAGCGTGGCCTTCCGGTAGCTGGGGGACAGGGACAGCACCGTGCCCATGGTGCCGCTGCGCGCCCGGCGGGGGCCCGCGCCCCTGCGCGCCCAGCCTGCCCGCCCGAGGGAGGAAGCAGCTCACGGAGCCCGCGGCGGCCCGGGGAGAAGACGGGGGCGCTGCTGGCCCCTTCGGATCTGTGCAGAAAACAAGACGGTCTCAGGGGCGGCGAGGGCCCCGCGCCCCGCGCCCCGCCCGCGCGCCGCAGCCAGCCACCCTCACTGCAGCAGCCCCGCTCGCCGCCGCAGCCTGGATGTGCAGCCGAGAGAGGCCCGCGACGCGGGCGGAG